CCATTTCACCCCTAGCCCAACAAGATTCACAACCAAGGCCCAAAACTATCAAATCCACAAAAACCCATCAATGGCCTGATTTTCCAAATTGGGCCCAAACCCTTACATGGGCCTTTCCCTAAATCCAATTTCCTTTTCTTAACCAATAATTTTCCGATGGCCTAAAGGTCCAAGCCCATTAGGCCCAATCAAGGCCTAACTATATTGGGCCCACTAAGGCCTAATTCATCATCTAAGGCCTATCAGGGCAAGCCCAACAAGCAAGCCCAACCAAAAGTCCATTACTCTAAAATACTTAGTCCATTATGAGCCCAAACCAAAGGATAAGTCCAATACCAAGATAGCCAACATTCAAAGAGCCCAAAACTTTTACAGGCGATGCTCACGTCGTGAGCACCTTATGCTCACGTTGTGAGGTCGTGAATTTGGCCCAGAAACTTCCTCGAACACGCTCTCACGTCGCGAGGCTTCATTCCTCACGTCATGAGTCCATATCTGACCAAAAATGAGCATTAAACTCCTAATCCATGAATCCGTAAGATGGGACAGTCTAGAGGGTCTTCCTTGACACCAAGGACCATAAAAATCAAATCTTTTCAGTCACATATGTCGAATACATGACTTAAACACCAAATTAGGTAAAAATGAACAAAAAACGGCCAAGACTCAAATTTGGAGTCCAAAACCATGACCAAAAGTCCAGATCTAGAACTTGTAGGACTTAAGGTACCAACATAATCCATAAAGTTGCCAACTTTATGGATTCCATGCATCCTAACCAACATTACAAGCCATAAAATGCATGGAAACTTAGATCTAGCAAGCTCCTCAACTAGCTTACAAAGGTCCAAAAGCTCCTCAACTTGCTGATAATGAAGCCAAGATGCTAACAAACACACCACCAATGATCTTCTTCTTCCTCAAAGGGCTTTAAGGCTTCAAAATCCATTGAATAACACCAAGAATGACCAAGGACTTCAATGGGGGCCGAGATTAGGGTTTCCAAAGTTCTTGGGAGTGAAAGAGGCTAAGGAGAAGCAACCCTAATCATCTCATACCTTTAAATACCCGAAAAATAGGGTTTTGGTGCATTAGGCGCTCCTCATGTCGTGAGCACTTCATGCTCACGTTGTGAGCACTTCATGCTCACGTCGTGAGCCTTAAAAGAGCTTGGTCAACAAGTAAATGACCACTCCCCTGAACTACTCCAACTTCAAACAACCATAACTTCTTCGTTTCAACTCCGTTTTTGACGTTATTTATATCCACAGAAAGGTGGCGAGAAGCTCAACACATCTATCAACTTATCCTCACCTCAAAACCTTCCGAACAAAACACCAAAATTCATAAAGAGCTAGAACTGCCACTTTACTGATATACCTCTTGGCTCCAAGGCACAACCCAAACTCCCGGATCACCTCAATTATATTATCCTTACCTAAATGGGTCTAGATCTCTCTTTTCCAAAGGCCCTAAGCCTTATGATAACCTATCTTCAGGCCACAGTCCTGAATTAGGAAAGCGATTCGGAATAGGGCATTACACTTGCCCAAAAGACAGTTATCCCCTTTGTGAAAATTGAGCAGAAGATTGAGTCATTGGGGGGATATGAGTGGAAATCCTTTTCGGATGCATACAATGGGTATCACTATGTAAAAATGGCCGTTGCTGATGAGGATAAAATAGCTTTCCACATAGAGAACAAGACGTTTTGCTATACAAAGATGCCCTTTGGTTTGAGAAATGTGGGGGCGACATACCAGAGGCTGGTGGACAAGGTATTCACAAAGCAAATAGGAAGCTATGTCGAGGTATACGTAGATCATATGGTGATCAAGAGCAAGGGGGATGATGATTTTTTGACTTATGTGGAGGAAACCCTCAAAAGGGTACGACAAACTAACATAAAGCTCAACCCAAAGAAATGTGCATTTTAGGTGCGAACGGGGAAGTTCTTGGGTCATGTTGTAACATAAACAGGGATAGAGGCCAGTCTTGAGAAGGTTGAAATTTTGCTAAAAACAAAAACGCCCATAACCATGAAGGAAGTACAAAGCCTCAATGGCAAGTTGGCAGCCTTGGGGCGATTTCTTGCTAAGTCAGTAGACCAAACGATACATTTCCTTCAAACATTGAAAGCATTTACGAGAAGGAAATATATACTATGGTCAGATGAAGAGGAAGAAGCACTCCAGAGGTTGAAGCAATCCCTCAGGAAACTACCGATCGTGGATGAAACCTTATGTCCTTTTCCTGAAAAAAGGAATACTACTGAAGGATGAAAAAGAAGCAAGGAAAATGTGAATTAATACACCGAACTACACCATGTATGGAGGTCGACTGTATAGGAAAGGTCATTCCACCCCATGGCTGAAGTGCGTAACAAACAGGGAAGCGGAGGCAATAATACAAGAAACACATTCCAGGGTTTGTGGGGCGCATAGGGAACCATGAGCAAACGCCCAGAGGATCCTTCTAGCAAGATACTTCTGGCCTTCCGTAACTCGCGACACAGAAGCATTCATCAAGAAGTACCACAATTGTAAGATACACGCAAACGTGCCAACATTACCACCACACGATATAGTTAACATCACAAGCCCGTGGCCATTCCTTCAATGGGGAATTGATATCGTGGGCCCGTTCCCTGAAGCACCAGGAAGACTCAAGTTCCTTGTCATAGTAATTGATTATTTCAGTAAATGGGTCGATGTTGAAGCAGTCACAACTATAACCAGGGAAAGAATTATCAAGTTCGTGTGGAGACAAATCGTTTGTTGTTTTGGTCTACCCTGTACTATTGTAAGTGACAATAGCAAACAATTTGCTAAAAACCCCTTCAAGAGATGGTGCCAGAAAAAAAGAATCCAACAGAACTTCACCTCGGTGGCTCCTCCTCAGGCCAATGGTCAAGTAGAAGTGACAAATCGAACTTTGGTAAAAGGAATTAAGAGAGGTTGGGAAAAGCCAAAGGAAATTGGGTTAATAAACTACAACATGTTTTATGGGCATATCGGACCATGGTGCGAATATCGACCAAAGAAACCCCCTTTCGCTTGGTGTTTGGAACAAAAGCAATTATCCCTATATAAGTGGCAAGCCGAGCCACCCGAACCAATAATCCAGAAATGCAGTCAAACTCGGTGAATCTCAGAACAAATCTAGATTTATTAGAAGAGAAGAGAGAAGAAGATGCAATACAACATGCCAATTACAAAGCGTTAGTAGAGCGGTACTACAACGTTCAGGTAAAAAAATCATCGTGTGCGGTGGGTGATTTGATTTTGCGCAAGAATGAAGCTAGCATGCAAGAGCACATGGGAAAAATCGGCCCAAACTGGGAAGGGCCATACCTCATGGTCGAAGTACGACAAAGTGGGGCATATCTTCTGGAGACGCTAGATGGAATCCGGCTGTCGAGAACGTGGAATATGCGTAACCTTCAAAAATTCCACTTTTGAAAAAAGCGTCACAAGGTGGTTAGAAAGGAAGGAATCAAGCGATAACGACATTTTGGAATTTAGAACTTTTATTGTTCGTTTTTTGATGTAATTTGATTACTTATTCTGAAATGACATACTCCATTTCTTTCAAAATCACCATTTAGGAATAAGTCAAGCTAAGAATATAAAAAACCATCGCCATAATTGATCACATTATTACCTTTACTCGAACCTCAGGGTAACGCCTGATGGTTCTAGCAACTTCAATCATCGCCATAACTGATCACGTTATGGGTCAATGTTACCTTTACTCGAACCTCAGGCTCACACCTAACGGTTCGAGCAACTTAAAATCATCGCCATAACTGATCACGTTATGGCTCGTTGTTACCTTTACTCGAACCTCAGGGTCACACCAGACGGTTTGAGCAACTTAAAATCATCACCATAAGTGATCACGTTATGGCTTGATGTTACCTTTACTCGAACCTTAGGGTCACGCCTGACGGCTCGAGCAACTTAAAATCATCACCATAACTGATCACGTTATGGATCGATGTTACCTTTACTCGAACCTCAGGGTCACGCCTGACGGTTCGAGCAACTTAAAATCATCGCCATAACTGATCACATTATGGCTCGATGTTACCTTTACTCGAACCTCAGGGTCACGCCTGACGGTTCGAGCTACTTAAAGTCATCGCCATAATTTATCACATTATGGCTCGACGTTATCTTTACTCGAACCTCAGGGTCACGCCTGGCGGTTTGAGCAACTTAAAATCATCTCCATAATTGATTACATTATGGCTCGATGTTACCTTTACCCGAACCTCAAGATCACGACTGACGGTTCGAGCAACAGCAAATCATCACTATAATTGACTATATTGTAGCTTGATGTTATATTTTCTCAAACCTTGGGCTCACGCCTGACAGTTCGAGAAATTTAAAGTTATCAGTATAATTGATTGCATTATGGCTCGACAATATTTTTACTCAAACCTTAGAATCATGCCAAATGGTTCGAGCAAGTAAAGAATCATTACCATAACCGATTATGATGCTATTCTTACTTAAACCTCATGCTCACACCGGCTATTTCGAGTCATATAAGATCATCACCATAATTGATTACATTATGGCTTGATGTTGCCTTTACTTAAACTTAAGCCATAACCGAGCACAGTGTTATTCTTACTCGAACTAATCCCATTGCAGTATGTCCAATCATTTGATTATCAGGTCAAAGTCTGGGGGATTAGGTTATATGCTAAGTATAACATTCAAATTTGTAGGTGGGATATGGTAGACATTCCAATACAATAGAAGGGCTGGATGTCAGCCCTACGCAATAAAAAGACAATCGAAGTTACAAACAACATTCACAACCTTGAAAATAAAAGGGGGGGGGGGAGTTGGAACGTATAAAAGCAGAAATCCATTATCATTTGGCAAAACGCCGTTACAGCATAACAAAATAAATAAGACCCACCTAACGGAAAGAGCTAAAACAAAACAAAGAGTAGCGATTACACCTTCAACCTATTATTAAGACTAGCATGACCCAACTTCATCATCCTTGGAAAAATCCACAACCTTGAACAATTTCTTCAAGCCAACCACATCCATTCCTTCTTCCCCAAAAATGGACAAAAGGGAGTACTTGTATGATGTCATCTCGGGAAAACAATCAATGATTTGACGTTGCGCATCTGGGTAAGAAAACAGGACGCCCTTATCCTTTAGCTCCTCATGATACTTCTCCTTCATATCAATACAGGCTTGATGGAGGCCAAGTTGGATGGCGGACGTCTGCAAGGTAGCATTCACGGCGCCAAAGTCACTTGAGTTAAATAAAGCACGCACAAAGAGGGGGACACCTTCCTTCACAACCCATCGGAACTCCTCAGCCCCCTTTCCGCTTTTGCTTGGAAGTTTGCCACCTTCTGCTACGATAGGAGTTGCGCATCATTCAATGTGGCAACTTGAGCATCTTTCTCTAACATCAGGAGTTTCGTCGCAACCAATTCCTCCTCTAGTAACTTAATGCTGACATCCTTGCTTGAATAGGCAAATCTCCAATTGAGAAACTTTATCCGTGTATTGAGATTTCAACGAATGGTATTGTTGAGAAATACCATCGAGCTTATTACTGATTGTAGCACGACGGCTCAAAGCATCGCCTATCTCCATTTGCAAATCCTGGTTCAGTTTCTTCAGCACCTCCTACTCACCATCAAATTGACTCAAATCTGCTACTAGACTCCGATTCCTCTCTGATAAACCAGCCACCTCTTACTTTAACCCTTCGGATTCTTTCTCTGTCTACTCAGGAAGAACCCACAACTGTTTCAACTCCCTTAAAGCTTCATTGAAATCAACCTGGCATTTAGAAAGCTCATCTGAACGTGCTTTCGTGCGGATGAATACTTCATTCAGCAAATATATCCCCTCCATCAAGCAGGCTCGAGCTTTATCCAGTGCTTCCTCATCAGTGGCAACCTCTGTTTGAAAAGGGGATGGAGGAACACTGGTCACAATAAAAGGATGCTGAAATTGGGGAAGTGAATCAGCGAGGGAAACCAATGTCGGCATGGTAGCATTTTTTCCTGTTATGGTGATTGTTGCATAAACAGCAAAGTAAACACGCAGTAATAGAATACAACAAAGTAAGATAAAAGGAAAAAGAAAAAGAGAAAAGTAGACGTCAATAAAGGAAGCAAAATTACTGGCTGATGAAGACGGGGGGACTAAGGTAATCACTTTTGTGCCCACAGTGTCAATTCCCACAGGATCTTCGTTCTCAGTAGAAGGATCAACGTGAACAGAAGTCGCCATTGTTAGGGTTTGAGGATTTTGAAGATCAAAGATTTTAGGGAATTATTGCTTTTGGAATACGTAAACTGACAATGAACCCTTGAATCCCTTTTATATGTAACCCTGAAGTTTGAATTTGAAGCGGGATGTGTATTTAATGATATGCGATGTGGCACCTTGAAAGTCGGACCATTACTGCGTAAAAGTAGCCATTAATCAAAAAGTAGCTGTCACATCGCCTTGAAAACCGGACAGAATACCATACGTCATTGAAAAACAGCCTGTCGTGTGATCCCCAAGAGTATTGTAACCGTCAGAACCCTTCGAATGGAAGCAAGGCTCTTTCACTTTTGGGATAAAAAGCGAAGTCATACGCCAGAAGTTTGAAATCATCAGCCTGAGTTGGTATTACTCAGAGCCTCAAGGATTTCGTGAGTGCAGTGTTCCAAAGAATGTAGATAAGAAAGAAAGATAAGAAAAATTTGGAATAGTGTGATGTCAAACAATTGACACAAAAGCAGATTAAATCCCGGGCAAAGATTACTTCATTAATCATTAAGAGAAATGATCAATAGCTTGTGTAGGTTCCCGTGAATTACAATCGAATACTTGTTGATAAGTATCAAAGGGCTTCTTTTATAATGCTTCGTGGGTATGTTCAAAATTTCGTTACATGTCATCCTAAACATAAGGTGAGAAATTGTAAACGAAATTACTTGTTTGACCAGTGTAGTCAGTGACAAGTTGTTTTAGAAAAAATTTAAAATAACTAGGACATTCGAATGAAACTCACACGAAAATCATATTCAAGAAAAAAATTTGTGTGCTGGATCTTGTTAGGTGACAAACATCGTGGGTTTCGAATGTTTGATCAAGATCACTCATTCAAAATGAATAGGATTTGGAGTTTCGAATTTTGGTACTGAAACAAGAGTTTCGTGAAAATCTGGAACATTGTTCCCCGTCAATTCCTTAAAAGTGTAGTGTAAATTGGGTTTCACTTTCATCACGTTCTCATGATGTCAGATCATAAACACAGAATTTTGATATGTCTAAGTCTTGATGGGTTTGATCAGAGACCTCTTGGACATATGTCATCGTGTGTGATCGTGTAAGAATTTTATGGGTGAAAAAGATTGATATAAGACACGAAAAGTACCTCTGTTAGTTTTGGACCAAACAGAAAACTCTTAACTCATTTTGAGAAGAGTCAGGTAGCTCAGAGACTAATGTGAATATAAGCCTGATTGGGAAGAAATTTTCGTACGAATAATTTCATTAAGGCTTTCGTACACACACATTGAGTCATTGGATTCTTAAGGACAACATGCAGCAGCATGCTTCTAGGGACAACCTAACTAGTTCGAATGATGAAAAATTTATCGATTTATACGAAAAATATACCTGACCCTAGTACTGCAAGGAGAATCCCCTCTGTATCGTCATGATAATCTGCAACAAAATACTAAAAAGAAGTAAGAATTAAAATATTTTTATTGTTTTGAAATTTTCGAAAATTAAATGACAAAACAAAAACAAATCTTTTTGGATTTTTGATTTTTCGAAAATTGAATTACAAAACAAATGAAAATCTTTTTGGATTTTGGAAATTTTCGAAAAGTAAATGACAAAACAAAAGAAAATCTTTTTGGATTTTTGGAAATTTTCGAAAATTAAATGACAGAACAAAAGAAAATCTTTTTGGATTTTTAAAATTTTCGAAAAATGAAATGACATACTGTACTTGTTGTATAAACACGAAATTTTATCATCCCCTGATATGTGACCAATGTACGAATTCGAAGGGGTCGAAGCGTTCACTATGAACAGTAACCACATAATCAACCCTTAAAAGAAGTGATAAATGTGCGAATTCGAAGGGGTCGAAGCGTTGAATACGAACAGTAACCTCTGAATGCTGAATAACTTTGCGTTATCTTTTATTCAGTGCCTCTGATTCATTCCTTGTCAACCATCATTCTCCTTTTTCGCATGGAACAGAATTTCCATCTATCATTTCAAGCCCTTCTATAATTCTCACAAGTGATTTTTCATCTAAAGGTTTCGTGAAAATATCAGCTAACTGATCAGTTGTTTTCACGAAATGTACTTCAATATTTCCATCCTCCACGTGATCTTTGATGAAATGATAATGAAGAGCTATATGTTTAGTCTTCGAATGCTGCACAGGATTATGACAAATTTTTATCGCACTTTGAGAATCACAATATAATGGAATCTTTTTCATATTTATTGCATAATCACACAATTGACTTTGGATCCATATTATTTGTGAAGTGCAAGCAGCAACAGCCACATATTCTGCTTCAGCTGTTGAAATTGATACGCATGTTTGCTTTTTTGACTGCCAGCTGACCAATTTGCCATCAAGAAATTGACATCCACCACTTGTGCTTTTTCGATCAAGATTACAACCACCCAAGTCTGCATCCGAATATGCTTGTACAAAGAACCCAGTGTTCGAAGGATACCACAATCCTAACGAAATTGTTCCTTTAAGATAACGAAAGATATTCTTCACAACAGTGAGATGTGGTTCTCGTGGATTAGACTGATACCTAGCACAATTACACACATAAAACATGATATCAGGTCTACTTGCTGTAAGATAAAGTAATGAACCAATCATGCTCCTATATAAAGTTATGTCAACTGCAGGTTTATCTAACGATGGTGTTAACTTTATGCCCGTTGCCATTGGAACTCGTAACTTTGTGCTATTCGTCAATCCAAACTTTTCAAGCAGATTTTTCGTAGACTTTTCCTGATTAATAAAAATCCCTTCTCTGCTTTGACAAATATTCAATCCAAGGAAATTGTTGATTTTTCCCATCATGCTCATTTCAAACTTGCTTTTCATCAGATCTTCGAATTCTCTAGACAAGGCAGGGTCAGTTGAGCCAAAAATAATATCATCAACATAAATTTGAACAAACATTAGATGATTCCCCACTTTCTTTCGAAATAATGTGGGATCAACAGATCCTTGTTTAAATTTAGATTGTTTCAAAAATGATGTAAGAGTTGCATACCATGCTCGTGGTGCTTGTTTCAAACCATAAACTGCCTTATCTAATACATAAACATGATCAGGATATTCTTCATTAATAAAACCTGGGGGTTGTTCCACGTAAACAGTTTCTTCAAGCTCTCCATTTAGAAATGCACACTTCACATCCATTTGATAAACATCAAAGTCTTTGTGAGCTGCATAATCCAGAAATATACGAATCGCCTCGAGTCTTGCAACATGGGCAAAAGTTTCTTCATAGTCGATTCCTTCTTATTGTGAATATCCTTTAACAACAAGTCTAGCTTTGTTTCGTATAATGTTTCCATCTTTGTCGGTCTTATTTTTGAAAATCCATTTTAACCCGACAATCGAAACATTTTCAGGTTTAGGAATTAATCTCCAAACCTTGTTTCGTTCGAATTCCGACAATTCAGATTGCATTGCAACAACCCAATCTGAGTGTTCCATTGCAATCTTAACTGTTTTTGGTTTAATTTTAGAGATGAAAACATTGAACATGCAAAATTCTTGATGAGTATTCATTACCTCATTCTTTGTACGAATTTGAGCTCTTGTTAAAACTCCCTCTTGTGGATTCCCAATTACTTGATCCTTCGGATGATCTTTTGTCCATTTTTCCATTGGTGGATATGCTGGATCAAATTCCAAAGGTGCATCTTCGTACATATCATCATTCTCTGAACCTTCAATCGAACAAGCATCATCTAAATCAGTATTATTTTCAATATTTTCTAAATGCTCCCCCTCATCATTATGCTCCCCCTCAACACTATGCCCCCCCTCAACATCAACATTCAATCTTTCTTTCTCCCCCTCGAAATAATGCTCTTCGTCACTGAAAGTATTCGAATCCAAGTGCTCCCCCTCTACTGGATTATTTTGCATACTTTTGCCTTGCTCTGGAGAAGTTGATGTTGAATCATCAATAATCTTCGTTAGTTCAGAGAGATGATTATCATTTGCATGTATTTCAGCATCAACGGCATGATCTGAAATTCCAAAAATTAAATCATAATCAATATCTAAGGTTTGTGAGGATTCAGATTCATCTTGTATGTCTTTCAGAATAGGATGATTTTCAAACTGAGATGTTGTTTGTTTAATGTAGTAATCATCAAATGTAAGATTAAAAGTTTCTTCAAATTTTCGTGTTCTTTTATTCAACACACGATATGCGACTGAATTATGCGAATATCCCAAGAAAATCCCTTCATCTGCTTTAGCTTGAAATTTCATAAGATGATCCTTGAGATTCATAATGAAGCACCTGCATCCGAAAACATGGAAAAATTTGATGTTAGGTTTTTGATTGTTGAGAATTTCATATGGAGTAATGTTAAAACGACGATGAATGAACGATCTGTTTTGAGTGAAACATACGGTTGATACAGCTTCAGCCCATAGGTATTGTGGAAGATTCGCATATGCCAACATAGTCCTTGCCGCTTCGCATAGAGACCGATTTCTTCTTTCAACAACACCATTTTGTTGTGGTGTATATGGAGATGAAAAATTATGTGAAATTCCTTTGTCCACCAAGAACATTGTTCTAAAATTCAGTTCCATGATCACTCTTAATTTTTCGAACAATCTTCTTCAATGTTGTTTCCATCTTTTTGATAAAATCAATCATGATTTGTGCAACTTCGGATTTATGCCTGAGAAAATAGACCCACGTAAATCTGGAAAAATCATCAACAATAACTAAAATATACCGTTTCTTGTTGAGAGTTGAAACAGTCGAAGGACCACACAAATCAATATGTAAAAGCTCCAGAGGTGCGCCAATTTTCGAATCTATTGTAATTGGATGACCTTGTTTATGTTGTTTGCCAACTTCACAAGCTGCACATAAAGAATCATTGTCAAATTTAAGTACAGGTAATCCTCTTACCAAATCTTGTACCACAAGTTTATTGATGTTTCGAAAATTGAGATGAGAAAGTCTTCGATGCCATAGCCAACT